TTAAAACACGGCACACAGTGTGACAACTGCGTCGATTCAATTGTATGAGGCGCCTGTAGTGAAAGCATATCAATTACGGTTTGTAGAACAAAATATGACGTTAGGTCGCGATAAATACCTGCAGCTCGCTCATTTCCAGCTCCCCTACGACAACACACCCACCGGTGAATGCAGTGCGCTTGTTTAGGGAAGTGTTGCTGCGCGAACTGCCTGGAACTCACGTTCGAACTCTCTCGCGAGCGCTACAACTACCGCGAGGCTTTGTTTCTTCAGAGACGGCAAAGATAGAAAGAGAGATGCGGAGAAAGGTAAAAATGGCCCGGTTTACGCAAGTCTTTACAAGTCAATTGGCGCAAGTCCAAGTGAAAGTCAGAGTCATTGATGTTAAAGTCCAAGTCGAGTTGCAAGTCTTTTTATATTTGGTCAAGTCGAGTCTAAAGTCATCAAAATCATGACTCGAGTCTGACTCGAGTCCAAGTCACATGACTCGAGTCCACACCTCTGACAGTCTGTACATGCAAGCGGGAGATCATCAATGAATATGGAGAATAGCAGAGGACCAAGTGATGAGCCTTGCGGCACCCCTCTCTCAATAAATGAAAACTCAGAGTAGCTACCATTAAAAACTACACACTGCTGACGATGATGCAGGTAGGAATTAAACCAGAGGAGTGAGGGCCGATCCAGGCCAATGGAGTGAAGCTTGTCTAAAAGCAAATAATGATTGACCAAATCCAAAGCTTTTGTGAGGTCAATAAATAAAGCACCAAGTAAGTTATTGTCAAATCCAGAAAATATATCATTTGTGAACTTTAATAATGTAGACGCTGTGGAACAATGTATCCTGAATCCAGATTGGAATGGAGACAGAAGATTTTTGGCTGATAAGTATTCTGATAGTTGACCAAACACTACTTTTTACATTTTAATTATGAGCGGGGGATTGGGATAAATTTAGTAAGTTATGTGATGAACAAATAGATAGAATAAATTAGGAAGGTACACTCTGTGAATGGAAGGATAGTTTGTGTAAGATTATTATGCATAGTGCGTATGAATGTATTCCTGTAAAGAAATGTCAAAAAGAGCGTGCCAAAGTACCATGGTGGAATAAGGACTGTGAAGATTCTGTGAGGGAGAGGAAAAGGGCTTTTAGAGTGCTTAAAAAATACCCACACAAGAAAATGGAATAGTGTATAAAAAGTTAAGGGCTTTAGCCAGGAGAATAATCAAGTCGGCTAAAAGAGAGAGCTGGAGGAAGTATTGAGGTACACTGGGAATAGAGACCTCGCTGAAATATATTTGGAGGGCTGTGAAACGTATGTCAGGAGTTAATCTGATAATTGACATTCCAGTTTTAGGGTCATCAGTATCAACAGATTTGGGAAAGGCCAGGGTGCTCCAAGATAAGTTCAGAGCAGTTCATAGTGGTGAAATTTACAATTAGAGGATAGGAGAAAGAGAGATGTCACTTTTGATGCAAACAGGCACAAGTTCGAAGTTAGTGATGACAATTCTGATGTTTGTAATCTGCATTTCTCCTTGGAGGAGCTGGAAAGCGCTATTGGCAAAGGGAAAGCTTCTGGGAAAGATGGGATTAGTTATGAGTTACTTTAAAGATTGAGTGAGAATGTGTTATATATGAATTGTTGGCTCTTATTAATAATGTTTGGGAGCAGGGGAAGCTTCCGTCAGCGTGGAAGCAAGCAGTAGTTGTGCCTATTCTTAAACCAGGAAAGAATGCATCTGAGGCAGGCTCGTATTGACCAATTGCTCTGACCTCTGTTTTGTGTAAGGTGATGGAAAGAATGGTTACTAACGGGCTTGTCTATAGGCTTGAAAGGGAGGGCAAACTATCACCAGTGCAAAGTGGGTTTCGAAAAGGTCGGGGTACTATGGATTCAGTCCTCAGCCTGGATTGTGATATAAGGAAGGCTTTGGTCAAAAAGCCATGTTTGGTGGCTGTCTTCATAGACATTGAAAAAGCCTTTGATATGTGATGGCGTGATGGCCTGCTGATTAAGCTCTATGACAGTGGATTTCCTGGACATATGCTTAACTGGATTCAAAACTTCCTTTGCAACAGAGTGATCCAAGTCAGGGTGGTAAAGGACCTTTCAGAAGGGACAGAGATTGATAATGGTACGCCACAAGGAAGTGTGATCAGTCCAATTTTAGAATTTCTGTTGAAAAAAGTAAATTTGTGATTTTTGGGGGAAAAAAGGGTTGGCAGTCAGAAATTGAGGCTGTATGGGCAGCAAATTGAAAGTGTTAGGGACTTTAAGTTTCTCGGAGTAATCTTTGATGAAAAGTGTCTGTGGAAAAAGCAAATTGAAAATGTTATAGTTAAATGTGAAAAGGTGATAAATGTGATGCGGGCTCTGTCAGGGAGTTGTTGGGGGGCTCTGAGAGAAACTCAAATGCTCATTTATCGGGCAATGGTGAGGTCAAGGTTAGACTAAGGGTGTTTAGCATATGGTAGCGCAGCAATGTCGCATTTAAACAGACTGGATGTTGTTCAAGCAAAAGCACTAAGGGTTTGTTGCGGAGCCTGCAGGTCTTCTCAAATTCCTGCACTGTTAGTAGAGGTCAGAGAATCACTTTTAAGGATTAGACAAGACAAGCTAGTGATGCAGTACCTGGTTAAATTAAAAGCTTTTGGGGACTTCCCAGCGAAACAGTTGCTAGATCCATCATGGGAGTTAGGAGCAAAAAGGAACCATGAACCTTTTGTTGTTACTGTAAGTAAAGAAATTGAGATTTATAGAGGTGGGGGTTGCCCCTCAGCTGTTATGGCCAGCCATTCCTCCTTGGACATTACCATCCCCAGATATTGACATGTCAGTGTTAGAAGGTAAGAGGGGAAAAAAATGACCCTGAATATTGTAACCTTGTAGAACAGGCGTTGGGAGGAAGATGGGAAGGCCATTTGCAGATTTATACAGATGGCTCAAAGGAAAAGGAATTTGGAAGGACGGGGTGTGCCTTTTTTGTGCCTCAGTTAGATGTGATTTTTTTAAAAAGACTTCCAAATGAGATGTGTGTGTACACTGCAGAAATTACAGCAATAACAAGTGCCCTTCAGAGGGCAAAGGCCACTAAACAAGGTCAAATTGTTGTATGTTCTGATTCAGCGGCTCTGTTAAGCTCTATAGGTTTCGACAAAGGCAATGCCAGGCCAGAAATTTCTGTGGGGTTTCTTTTATATTTTATGTTACAGCTGCTTGGCAGGCAATATGGGATGGGGACAGCAGGGGGCGTCATTTATATGCTATCAATTCCTCTGTTAAATGGAAACCTTTAATGTGTGTTAAGGATAGAAGGACTGAGGACTCCAGGCTGAGATTAGGGCATTGTGGGCTCATGAAATGAGCATGTATTTCCTTGATACGGAGTAACGCTTTCTAGAGACTCGCGCCACTACCGAGCTGCACTGTCCAGCCCAAAAAAGGAGGCTTGCATATTTTTACTCATGTAGTGACACAGTGATGGGCTTGGTGGGCTCCCTCCTCAGCAGAAGTGGAGCGCATTTCTTGCGGCTCTCACTGTTCTCCTACCACGGTAAAGTGGGCCGGCTTTCCGGAGTCAGCGGTAAAGAGGCCCGCACATTAAAAGCGGGCGGCCGCTTTCTGCTGTTACTTTATGCAGTTCATCCCCGCGGCTTCTCTTTCCAAAGTTACTGTCAGTAAAGGCATGAACCGGCCACCCGCTTTTAATGTGCGGACCTCTTTACCTTTGACTCCGAAAAGCCGGGCCTCTTTAACGCGCTGTTCTACCGCTGCCCTCCCTCTCTCCCTCCTCTGCCCTCTCTCCCTCCGCTGCCCTCTCTCCCTCCTCTGCCCTCTCTCCCTCTCTTCGCACCATCAGCCTGACCCCTGATACAAGTGACTTTTCTCCCCCTCCGGGTTTTTCTGTTGTGGAAATTAACCACGTTTCATTTTAAAGCAGGTATTATTTATTTGTAGCCTCCAAACACCTTTAGTTTTAGCAAACAACAGCAGGACACGCTTTGCCGCTGCGCATGATGTGAGCTGTGTTACGTGATGATTTTGATTGACGCTGCAATGACTGGGACAAAATTACTAACGTTATTAAAATATATTATAGTCTCCAAACACAATTTAACAAGTAGTCCTTTTGAAACAAATCAAATGCTAAATAAATATTTAAAGGCTTTATATTTGCTCAAAAAAAAAAATCTTTTTCTTTTTTGTGTGGAAATCATCTTGCGACCCCCCCAGGGGTTCCCGCGACCCCCCGGGGGGTCGGGACCCCCACTTTGGGAACCACTGGGCTAGAGCGTGGGACAGATATATAGTGGGGAAACACCAAATGTGCACACTGTAACGAAAATCAGACTGTGTGTCATGTATTCATGACACACAGTCTATGTAGAACCTGCAGTGCACAATATGACCGGGAAAGGCAGCAATGAGCGAAGAGGCGCCAAGTCTGCCGGAAAGCAAAAGAAGAAGAAGAAGAAGATCCGGTCTCAAACCGGAAACTTAGCATTTTCTAGTGCACGGGGTCTATTGTGGTCCCATAGCGAGTTGGAGAAAGTATTTACATCGATTGTCAGGTTTTCGATTAGTGATTTCATTTCGGTAAATTTCTTTTTTAGCATAGCTTTTTGTATTAGCGTTGTTGTTAGCTGAATTTAGCTTACAACTTTTCTTTGTATTACTTTTTAGTGTCCTATATCGTGTTCAATTTGTTATATTTTGTTTATTGTAGTTGTGTGTTGCGATGGGGAGGAAGTGCCGGGTGGCGGGCTGCCACACGTCTGTAGGGCTACATTTGTTTCCACAGAACTTAGAAATTAGGCGGCAGTGGCTGCGTGCAATTGGTTTGGCAGAAGACTTCAAGCTCCCTCCTCAGGCTGGAATTTGCAAACAACATTTTTCGCGTGATTCCTTCGCCAACTCGATGGAGGTTGAAATGGGCTATGCCAGTTTACTCCGTCTGAACAGCGACTCCGTCCCCACCCTTGCTATTCCCAGACGGAGCCTTCACCCACCGACACTGCTGCCCCGCCAGCCGGCCAGTGTCCGGCGTCAGTCTGAGGTGAGGGAGAAAAATTATTATTCACCCATCTTGGATTTGAAAATAATTGCAATGATTGTAGCTGCAGTAAATAAGAGTGAATAGATTAATATTACAGTCTATAGTTAAAACGCAGTGTATTACGACACGCAGATTTGTACTACTTTCACTCAGGTTAGTTGATAGCAGCAGTGGCTAATGCATCAGGCAGGACAAATAAAGTTACGCTGACACAGTGCACAATTGTTCTTTGGTCTGGGCACCAAACTTTGTCATGACTCATGACCGTAGCTTTCATATTTGACAACATCTGCGTGAAATGTGAGTACATCTACAAGATAGCTTTGCGTTAGTTCTTTTTCATTATTCGTTATCATTTACTGTGAGGCTAAACTGACCGGGCAGATGCCCGTGGCTCCGTGTGCACTCTGCACTGGTGTGAGAGGGCTGACCCATAGACTGACCACTCCAGGAGGACTGTGTGCTGTGCTCAGGCGCTGAGATCTTGTTATTGAAATGTTGTTTTTAGATGGATGATCTTTTTAATGAATTTTGAGAACATAATGTTTTAAATCCGTCATGACATGGCCGGTATATGTATATTGTACTCTCGTCTCTAGAGGTCTGGTGGGAGGTGTTCATGCAGATGTGGGCCATTGTCTCCTTTGCCTCCTGTGTCCTGTATGCACATGTTCGACTGTTTGCATGTTAATATAGAGGGCTTCCCTTTGAAACTGTACTTCCCCATGACTGTTTTGTGGGCGTGGTTTGAGAATCTGGATCATTGAATAAAGTAGGTTGCTTCGTGGAGGAGAGATTAGAAGACCTTGGTTTGGAGCTGTGGAAACACGGCTGCTTTCTGCTGTCTCCTCCATGGACGTCTAACCATGTAAAATAGAATGACAACTTCGGCCTAATCTTTGTGTGCTTATGTCCAGATGACCTGCAGTCGAACTATTTTTTTATCAGATCTTTATCTTGGCTTCTATTCACTAATCAGAATTGGACAACAATTAAATGCACTAAGGAAATGTAACACATTACCCTTCTACCTGTCTTTTATAAATGTGTTTGTGTGTGTGTTCAGCGGATGACCAGAGAAATTGGTTGCCAGACTGATCGAGTTATTGCACGGCATGCAAATGTTCAGGCCAATGTGAAGCTGAGCAGGCGAAGCCAAGGTGATATATCTTATTTATTATTGTACAAACCGTACAGTCATTTTATGTATTTAATGACACTATATTACTACACTGTATATAATAAAACAAGTTTTACAAATGCTGGTTCATTTTAAACTAGATTAAATAAAATATACAAATCACTTCAAAATGGAAAAGCATCATGACTTTATTTCCCTGAAATGAGCAGATCTGGTTTGTACAAGTACATGCATGTCCGTGTTTTGTTTTTTTTGCCCGGATGTTTATTCTCCAATGGACTTTTTTTCTATCCTCTGCCAGATTAAGGTGAACCCCGTTTCACTACAACTGAACACTCCTATTATGTACTGGGATCCTGTCGCATTTGCTGTTTGCTTGGACTCTATGAACCAAACCAAGCTTCTATAAAAAAGGGAGCAGTTCCAAACACATTTCACACACATAGCCCACACACAAAAAATCAATGATGCATATATTTTATGCATATGGGATTGTGTTTTTGAGGATATTATTATAGATCCATGGTTTATGCACATAAACACATTTTGGGGTTGGAATTTCCGATTTTCCTACATTGCGTGAACGCTTCTGTAAGTTTGGGCCAATCGTATCAACTGTACCCGATGACGTGTGTCGAGTGACGGAAGGACGAGAAGAGAAGAACGCACTGATGGTGTTTACACAATGGTGCCGAACGATTTTTGCCGTTTGTGCAAGTTAAACATGAGGGAAGATGGGCCGTCCACATACGGACACTCCACAGACATGTTTTTGACTAAAAAAACAACTAGCATTTCAGACAAGTTGGCGTTACTTGGTTTGATAGTCTCCCAGGAGTCGGGGAAATCAAACAGATGTTGTTCGCGTTGCTCCTCTGTAGTTAGCAGACTTGAAAGAGACTTGCCTGTATTCAGACAATGGGAGGAGGAATTCTATGACGGCAACGAATCCATAAGGCAAGGCGAGTCCGGGCCGTCAAAGATGCCGACTGCACTGATAACGAGCTGCCCAGACACTACCAGTCAAAGAGCCAGCGCGTCCGGACAAACTACTACCCAGGTATCAAGTTTACCTGTCAATCACTCCAGCTGCTTCATATGCATGCTTACATGATGCTTACGATTTCCTTATTTTTCATTTTGTTATTTAGTTGTCTCAGACAGTCCTCTGTGTAGTTGTCCCCGTTTTACACTGGTATACAAGGATTCCAGAGTTTCACTCTTTTAATTGACCATAATGTAAAGTAGACATAAGCACTTGAATACTAATACTATTGTGTATGCTGTCTCTCAGGTCACTATCATATATCCATCACAAACACTGACAAGAGTGTGCGGTCCTGAGGAAGATCCTATAGTTAAATTTATTGTCCTGAGGCGATGGAAAGAAGCTGCCACTCATGCACTGAAACATCAAGACCTGCAAGAGAAACTCAAAGAGGGAGTTATTAAATTAATATGTAAAGAATGTGAGGTGCTGTGCTCTCGCAAGAACGACTTCATGCTGTGGAAGTCTAAACCAGAAGATCTGAAGTCCTTCTCCTTCAACAGTTTAAGAGATGACCTCCATCGGCTTGCTCCCTTTTTACTCTCTATTTTCAACTGCATTAGCAACGATAACAAGTTAGCAGCCTGTACTGCTGCTGCTGTTGCAATACGAGGCAGAGAACCCCGCCTCGCTGCACTGTCTTATTGGATCAACACAATCCTCCAGTTCGGCAGAGCCAAAAAGTCAGTCTTCAATCGTCTCAGCCAGTTATCTCTCACCACATCCCATAACAAAGCAGTGAAGAAACGACACGAGTTGGCCCTTTGCTGTGGGGCTGAGTTTGTACAATTGAAAGGTGGCTTGAAAGCCACAGAAACCGAAGAACCCCAAAACCTGGAGGACGTGCGTCAGTCAGGTTAGGGAGAAATGTACCCCACATGTACCAAGATGCAGTCATTAGTTTATATGTGTCTGTATGTACTTTGTCTTTTATTTGTTGTGCACATTCAGCGGTGTGGGTAAGATAAGAATTCCTTTATTCGTCCCACAGTGGGGAAATTTCCCAGGGTAGTCCATTGTAAGGGTCAAACTTCATAATTTTTTACTTTGACTTCAACCTCCTTCCACATTCGGGACTCACAATAATCTTGGTATATCGTCCCGGGCTTTATCAAAACGTGCAATAAAGCTGAGTCGTGGAGTCTGAGCGCTGCAGAAGCGCTGCAGAAGCGCTCTCAAAGCCGTGCATGCACTGTAGAAAACTGCTCCAGAGGATAGAAAGCATTGCACACCTGATCCCCTCTGTGGCTCCACTGAAGTCGACTCATCCAGACCCCAAAATTGTGTCAAAGACATATTACTGCATTTTTAACGTACTTAAGGGAAGCACCCCTGTGACTGAAACTGTTGAGAGTGAATAATTATAGAGATTAATATTTATTTATTTTGATACTTTTCTTGTGTTGGACAGGTTGCCAGACTCTCTTCCCGAGTCCAAGCCTCAACGTGAACCAGGACATCCCAGAGACTTCACAAATAAAAGAGGAGCCAGAGGAACAGTGCATCAAACAGGAGGAAGAGCAGCTGCAAGAGTACGAGTCATATACACACATCACTGTTAATCACACGTGTCCTGCTCAGAGCAGGAAACTATCCAGAGATGGCACCGGAGACATTTAGGGCTGTTGGCCTTTCATCATTTAGTTCATTTGTGTTTCTTTCGGCGGCCACATTTTTTTTACTAGCCTAGGGCTCCAGACTATCTTTTGTTGTCCCATTTCTGTGCACGTTAGTTGCACTGTACTTACAGATCTCGGCTCCTTGTTAGCGTCTTTTATTGTGGGAATAACACCAGGTTTCAAGATCAGCTTTTGAGTAAGTCCAGTTCCATGGAAACTGTAGTTCTGGAAGCAGTCTTTGGGGAAGTGTCACTCACAGAAAACTGATTCATCGCTGATTTCGGAGGTTGATCCCCATGAATAAATTCACAGCTTTGCTCTTGTCTTTGGGCCAAACAGTCTCATCACATATTTATACCCAAAAACACATGTTCTCCGGGTTTATGTATCTTGAATACGTGTCTTTAATCTCCACCAATAACTCAGCTTTTGTCTCCGCTAGCTTATCAGTTACCACCTTGCACTGACGCTAGCTGCCTCCTCTCCAGAAAATGTGTTTTTTGGTGAAAATATGTGACGATACTGTTTGGTTCGAAAAAGTGTAGCTAGTTCCACTTTTTTTTCCTGATCTTGAAAAATGGTGTTATTCCCACGATAAGAGACTAACGAGGAGCATAGATCTGTAAGTACAGTGCTACTAACTTGCTGTATACTACTGTTACCTAAAATATTAGGGTCTGATTCTGGATCAAGGACATAAGAGATATGCGACAGATAAAGTTTATTCTCAGGTCTAAAATTATTATGTACTTACAAAAGCTGAACAGTTAGCTTTCATGCTGCTTTGTTTACTTCCTTGTTAGCGTGAGGCTATGTCACTGCGCAGGCCGGGGGAGGCGGGCTCGCAGGCAGAGGAGCAGAGATCAGCTCATTTAAATTGAGGTGACATCACCTCTATGCATGAAATAGCTATAATTTCACAAGTTTTGAGAGTTGTATGGTGTATCACCCACATTATTGTCATACATATGAGGATGGACTGGGAAAAATTAAGAAGAATGCAACATGGGACTTTTAAAGCATGGGATAGTCAAAACGTGAGATTTACATCAGCCATTGAACAGCTTTGAGAAAACACAGGAATCCATATCAGTCTTGTATATTAGAGTGCCCTAGATTTGTTCAAGCAAAGCTGTAGATCTAAACCCGGAAGAGACTTTACTCACATGCATTTATTGCAGGAGTACATCTGTAGTAAAAATGACAAAATATGACAGTATTGCAACTTTGGTCCTCAACAATATATATTTTTTTCCAGGCCTGTCGTAGAGCCGAAGGTTGAGTGTGTGAAGATAGAGCCATCAATGTTTCAACAAACTGAGGATAGCATGGAAATAAAGGAAGAAGACATCAACGCAGACTCGTCCGAACCTGGAAATTATGAGCCTATGGTTGAGTGTGTGAAGATAGAGCCATCAATGTTTCAACAAACCGAGGATAGCAAGGAAATAAAGGGAGAAGACATCAATGCAGACTCTTCCGAACCTGGAAACCATGACGACTGGAGATCATCCCTCAGCTGTGCAGATGTAGAGATGGAGGCTGATGGAGAGGATTTCCACAAAGATCAGATCACAGCTGAAAGCATGACTGCACATAACACAAGCCAATCATCCAATTTCCAGTCTGCAGCAGAGACCAGTGCCGCTGTGAACCCTGGAGACTTGTGCACAGAAGCTCGAGGAGAAGGAAAGAAGAGATACCAGTGTGTATTTTGCCCCAAGTCCTTCAGCAGAATTCTACTTTTACAAAACCACATAACAACTCACACTGGAGATAAACCTTTCAGCTGTCCTTCCTGTGACAAGACATTTACCTTTAGGGCAGATCTGGAAGGACATATTCGAATGCACACAGGGGAAAAACCCTTCAGCTGTTCGCACTGTGATAAATTATTTGCCCAACAGCGCTCCCTCACACAGCATTTGAAGACACACACTAGCGACAAACCTTACAACTGTCCACTCTGTAGCAAAACATTTTCACTCAAAGGCAATCTGACCTTACACATGCGAAAACACACAGGGGAAAAACCTTTCAGCTGCGCAGTTTGTGAGGAAGCCTTTTATTGCAAGTCTAATCTGGAAGAGCATTCGCGGTCACACACAGAAAAGCTGTGACGTCTATTAATTGTAACATCTGTGTTTTTTAAAAACATGCAAGAAGAAATTGATTGCATGAAAGTAGTATATTCTCAGTGTGTCAATCTTCCGACTTCTAACTAGAGCAGTCTTGTGGCGCTGCAACAATCAAACTGATTCCCTTCTACTCATCGCAAAGAAAGGCAAAGACACTTTTACTGTTGTGATGAGAATTACAGAATGTACAGGCAAATCAGTTTTTACATATGTAACCTGAGATATTTCTACATATTCTTTTTGGCTATCAGTGTGAAATAAAACACATGATTATTTCACATAAAATAAAACCTTTTGATTTGTCTCTATTCTTCTGACACAATCTGACACATGTCACAGTGACAGGAACCATTCATCCAGCTTGAGATTCCGAATTAATTCAGTCCCATGTTTGTGGAAAATCGCAACTTCCAAGATTGCATGAACAGAGCATTAGAATATTACAGGCCATGAAAGAGTTAGAAACATTTTAAATTATTTTCCATTGTCATTTACACCAGACATATCCAATCTAAGGCTTGCAGACCAACTGTGGCCCATTGAGGGACTTTGACAGAATCATTCAGCCAAGTTCAGCTCCATCATTATAGTCTAAGTTGGTATACATCATTGTACATCTCAGAACCCTTTGGAACCTCAGTCATCAGTAGTTAATTGGTAATTCTACACCAGCGAATAATATGATAGCAATGTTATCACCTTGACATGTTTCGACGTTGTAATGCTGTCTTCCTCAGAATCGTCTCGTGACATCACTCATCACATGCCTTTTAAGCGCCTCTTGCCATTCGCTTTCAACCCACCCACAATTGTATGGAATAGAAGAACCAAATAACTCAGGCGTGTTTCACAAAAATTCTATATATGGCGCTTATCTAGCTGTGGTGTCAAGAACGGCCAGTCAAAACAGTTTTCCAATTTAAGTTTGGGGCCCCTGGACAAGTCTGGTGAACTTAAGTGGCCCTTTTATGTAAATATTTGATTCTTCTTTATTTGTCCCACAGTGGGGAAATTTCAGTGTTGCATCACAAGTTATGGAACCGTAGGAATGAGGAGCACACTGCACAAGATATTGAACAATAGCTGTACTAATTAAAATAAAACAAAATCTCTATCTTGAACATAATGAGAGTACAAAGTGTTACATTCGGCAAAATAAGAGGCACCCCTGAATTGTTTTAGAGCCATTTCTGTTATTTTCAGATGTAAAGAATCATGTGAATACAACTAAAAGAAACGGTTGCCCTTTTACTCTGTATATTCTTTGCCTGGCCTGCCAAACGATATGCTTTTTCAAAGACATATCTTCTTCTTCTTCTTCTTCTTTTGAACAGAAAGGAGGAGTGTCTGGCAGGCCAGGCAAGTATATTCTAATAGTGAAGAATTACGTTGTCATAAGCCTCTGCCCCGGGAGGCGGCGCTGTGGCCTCTTCTCTTGACGCATGCGCAGAGCAGGTGTGGGTGCAGTCTCGTGGTGTTAGCTTCTGTGCTACATAAAACAAGTTGTTAAAATGTCTGCGGGGAAAACTCTGAGAGCTTTGGTGACTGCGCGACTGAGTGCGGCTGCGGAAGACATATTTGCGCTGTTTGAAAGAACGATAGCGGATTATGAGAAGGAACTGCGGCTGTGCAAAGAGAAGCTGAGGAGACAGGAGCAGCTGGAGACTCTGAGGCCGAGAGTGAGGACCCCCGGTGAGACATGACCCACTCCTGATACTACACTCACCTCATGGAGAAATACAATCATTAATGTTGATATTATGAGAGGTCTGGACCCCGTAGTTATTTGAAGAGTTAATTTGCAGAAAACGAACATTTGTCAAAACGCTTATTTTCTCTCGCTACAGTCTTCTACATATGGAAAGGATCTGCTCAAGAAGGGCTGACACTTTTTTGTTTGGCACTGATATTGATCTCACAAAATGCAAGACATGCAATTAATCCTTAATGGTACTGATTTGCAAATCAACTGTGAAAGACTAGAAATCCTCACGCCATCTCTCCTGAATTAAATAGCCGTTTCGATAAATGTTTAATAGTTGGGGTGACCAGATTTTGCATAGAAAAGTGGGATACGTGAGAAAAATTATAATATAATTTTGTTTAATTCATAATTTTTTTGGTTTGCCCCGTTTCCATTTGCACTACTCTGCTTAGTTGCATTGTCTTCAAATTTCAGTATCAGGTACCGTATCCTAGCGATCTACTCACAATGTACCAGTATCCCTGGAAATTCCTTGGTAACCATGGCTTCCAGCTGCACTCTGGCCTATCACTGTCAGTTAGAACGCTTTAGCACCCGCTTGGCTGGTTAGAACCAGAACCCAGCAGGTTATAAAAAAAGTCTTGAGTACAGACACAACAACAGTTCGACATTTACAACCGCAGCAAACATCTTATCTTTTGCAGACATAAGAGCTGTGCTAGTCACTAATTGAAGCTTTGGGCTGTGATCTGATTGGCTGAGTGAGTGTGGTCCTCTCTTTCTCACTTCTCTGTCTGTCTTTTATTTCGTGCAGGTGTCCAGATGCCCTCCCAGAGTCCAGACCTCAGTCTGAACCAGACTTCACCGGTTAAACAGGAGCGTGCGGAACAGAGCGTCAGACGGGAGTATGATTTCTTCATACACATCACTGTTACCCACATGTGACACATGAACTACTTTGATGTATTATTTGTCCATCCATCCATCCATTTTCTTCCCCTTAATCCATTTCTGGGTCGGGGGGGTGGCAGTCAGAGCTGCACCCAGTACACTTAGCACCAGCCCCTCACTGATCCTCCTGCAGGTGGTGAGTCCACAGGAGCTGAGATCTTTCAGTGGGAGCGTCAGGCAAAGTGGGGTTAAGTGTCTTGCCCAAGGACACAACGACAGCAGTCATCAGTGGGAGTTGTGAAGTAGGTGGGCTTGAACCCACGACCTTCAGGCCCAAAGGCCAATGCTCTACCAACTGAGCTACTGTCGCCCTGTATTATTTGTATTGTACACATTTCTCTGATGTAGTACTACTGTAGTTTGGACATTATTGGGTGTTTGTACTGTACACCAGTCTTGTTTAGTCGCTGTTCAAATGAATGGAGCTCTCGCCGGCTGACGCATGCTCAGATGCGGTTTTTTCACAACGTTCTTGTAGGCGGGACCACTCACGGCCATTTTGGATAGCTCCAGTAGAGCAAAATCTTTGGCCCATTAGTTTGAACGGCGGAGATAGGCGTGACTACGTCCGTTAATATATACAGTCTATGGTTACAGCTGACGCAGCGGCGTGAGGGACAGGAAGTACATCTCCCCATTAAGAACAATGTAATCATTCACTGATTCAGAGTCAAAAGGCTCTCTTTCTGTGGCCTGTACGGTTGTGGCAACTGCTCGTATCAAGTGGAGAACAATTAATACCGGATATCAATATCAGCCAAAATGTTCATATCGGTGCATCCCTACTATTCGGTGGCTGTCGCTTGGCAACTAGCCCACCTCTACAGAGTTCCTTGTGGGGCTTCAGTGTGCAGACTGGCTGCATCCAATTTCCCCATGCTTTTGAATGGACTTTTTGATTTGAGCTTTGAAAATATTGCATTATTGCAATTTTGGTCCCCACTAATTGTGTATTATTTTTTTTTCCACCCTCCAGGCCTGTCCTAGACTCGAGTGTTGAGGGAGAAGACATCAATGCAGACTCTGAAGACTGGAGAACTTCCTTCAGCTGTTCAGATGTGCAGAAGGAGGCTGATGGAAATGGCGTTCAGGTCGCAGCCCACAGCACCACTGCACAAAACTCTGGTCTATTGTTCAATTACAAGTCTGCAGCAGAGGCCAGCGTCCCTGTAAACACTGAGGACATGTCCGCAGAAGCTCAAGGAGACGACGAGAGGAAATACCAGTGTGATGTTTGTACAAAGACATTCAGGAGAAGAGATAATTTGCGGAGGCACCGAAGACTCCATGCAAAAGAGACTTCTGCTGCTGATGATACTGAGGAGAAGAATTTCCAGTGTGAAATTTGCGCCATGTCTTTCAGCAGAATTCTACATCTACAGAACCACATAATGACTCACTCGGGGAAGAAACCTTTCAGCTGTCCCACCTGTAACAAAACATTTACCTTTAAGGCAGACATGGAAGGACATATTCGAACGCACACAGGGGAAAAACCGTTCAGCTGTTTACACTGTGATAAATCTTTTGCCCAACAGCGAAACCTCAAGCGACATTTTCGAACGCACACTGGCGAAAGACCCTACAGCTGCCCATTCTGTAGCAAAACGTTTTCACTCAAAGGTAATCTGACCTTACACATACGGAGACACACAGGGGAAAAACCTTTCAGCTGTCCAATTTGTGAGCAAGCCTTTTATTGCAAGTCTAATCTGGACGAGCATTCGCGGTCACATACAGGGGAACGACCTTACAGCTGTTCTATTTGCAATTTAACATTCGCACAGAGGTCAAATCGTAATAGACATTTTCGAAAACATGCGAGAAAAACTGATTCACAGACGGCGCCGCTCCCACAGAACACAAACCCTTCAGCTGATCAGTGCATGGCCGAGCCCACGGAACTGTTTCCGCTTTCATACGATCTCTCACAATCTTCTGACTTCCCAAAATCACAGTGTTCATGAGGAGCTGATGAGGCACAGACATTCCTTGTAAGAGGTGATAATGCTTATAATTTAACCCATAATTTTTTATATATATTCTTTAAGGGATTGTGCTCTAAATTCACAAATTATAATTGTAAAGAGATTTTGGGTTCAAGTTTAGTATGCTTATTTTTGATATAAAACCTCAGTCTGTGTCAAGGATGTGTTTGTTACTTGTTACTTTTTAAAAGTAACCAGTTTACTTTCTTTTGAGAGTAACTTAGAGATTGCTCGAATGTGGAAAGTAAAAAAACATGAAACCTGGAAAGATCATGGAAAAATAAAATCCACTTTCTGATCACTTATTTTTGGAATTTTACTGTACATTTTCCATACATTTATTCTGTAAAATGCTGCATTCTATTTTCTGCAGTAATGTGTTCATGACGTTAATAGATAAACGACTCAAAGATATGTTTGAAATATTTTTCCAATTTTTGTTGCCTTAATTGTCGGCATTGATTTTTGTTAACGTTATTTTATATTTGTTCGTACTTTGTGGAAAATTACTATGTAACTGTAACTTTGGTTCAAACGTGAAAAGTACCTTCTAGTTACTTTAAAATGTAAAAAAACATTAATAAAACTGAAACATTTGACCTTTTACTCTGCTACTGTCACTCTGCTCAGTAGGTGGCGCTGGGCCTTAGACATGTGTAATGTGCAATTCCTTCCACTTAATTTTCTGGCAGGGTTTCCTCCAGAGGGGGGGATGGGGGGGATCAGTCCCCCCCCCTGGCCATGGCCCTAGGGGGGGATATCCCCCCCCCTCAATTTTTTGGCCATACATGTATACAATTCTCACATCAAAAAGAGCCTTATTATTCTACATTATTTTCATTGGGATAACTCTGATTTGGCATACTATCTAATCTAATACATGTAGGATACACTACAAAAAGTACAAACTTCCTCACAGGAAAATTTTTTTATTCTTTATTGTGAATTTATGAGCTAAATCATTTTTGCCCAACCTTTTTGAAGTGGCACACTTTTTCCATTGAAAACAATCACATGGCAAACCACCAGCTAAAACTTATACAAACATGAAACTCGGCAGACTTTATCAACAACAAAAGTCATTCTCAACAAATATGTACTGTACATATATGTATATAGAATTCAAACAAGCACAACATTTTTTTCCTAATCTTCCCACATTCTTTTCACTTTATTTTGACCGTATAGGGGATATTGGACAATTTTCAAAGGCACACTATGCAACATCTCAAGGCACACTAATGTTCGACGGCACACTGGATGAAAAACACTAGGCTAGATGAGTATTCTATGAGAAGATCGCCTCATCTTCCACAGATCTAAGATACTGTCAAAGTCAACCATACCCAGATTATTTGGACCCTCGATTGCAATACGCATCAGACAATCAAGGGAAATGGAACTGAGTCTACTACGTAGACGGGTTTTGATCATCTTCATGTCACTGAATGATCTTTCCACAGTGGCTGTTGAGACGGGCATACATAAAGCAAGGTACATCAATGTCATAAGATTAGGATACAGAGCTGTTGCCTCGCCATTACTTACAAGGTCTGACATCATATCAGCTAATGATTGTGTTCGATATTGTGATGCCATGACCTTCTTAAATGCCCGCCATTCAATTCGACACTCATCACAATCTACATCAGGTGGGGCTGTCAAAGAAATAGGGGCTTCATCTTTTGCTTGCAGAGTGGCGACTGTGCTTGCACCATAAAATGATAACAAGGTTTCTAGACGGTCATTGCCATAACTTGGTAGATTTTCAGCTGCTGGTAATTTTTTCGGATTGAAAATACTCATAGCTGACACAAGGCCTAATGATTCGTTGAACCGACTTTTTATGTTCTTCAGAACTTCCTTCATGTATGGTACAGCTATTTTGTCATAGAATTGTCTGGTTGCATCAACAGAATGCGCAATACCCAAACCCTCACAAGCATCATCAATTTTTTGAATATTTTTCCCAAAGCTTGGTTCATTGATCAATTGTTCAATCGTTTCCACGCAGGTGTCAAGTTCTGCTTGCAGGTAGGACGTGTCCATTGATTTACTCTGCAGAGTCTTGCTTAAGCGGGTGACAGGTGACAGTAAGTCAGACAGGACATGGACTACTGCCACAAAGTTGAAGGTATTAATGACTCTGTGAATACCTAATGCTTCTGGATCACCTGTAATTAGAAAATGCACAAGTTTACTATTTTATTATTAATTATATCAATCTTTATATACTAATATTAGATATTTCCAGGCTATCTAACATTATTTGACTCAAATTATGTTAATTCTTTTACTTAAAGATCAACTAAACACCAGTTCCCAGCCTTACACATATGAACATTTCAGTTTATGTTTGCTTGTCCTTTAAAAACATCTAAACAAACTATAATATCATAATTAAAAATTAAAAATAAATAAAAAAAGTGTTTTTATCAATAACTCCTCACCTGTTTCTTGGTGGATGTGCTCGAATGTGCTGATCAATGGTTGAAGGGATATCCTGACTGCTCCAATACACCTTTCGTAAGCTAACCATCTTGTGTCACTTGGTTTTATCATCTTCATCTGGGGATGATCAAGTACACGCTGGATTTCTCGCAATTCAACTGCCTTCTTTGGTGAATAGTGAAAGGTCTTCCATATTGACATCATTGTCTGCAAGGCTTTTTGCACTTGTTTGTGAGACTTGCAAGCAGCAATAAGTGCAAGCTGGAGAAGATGACAATGGCAATGGACAAATACAGCCTTGGGGGAACAGAGACTCTTTAGTCGTTGCTGAACACCAGTTTTCTTCCCTGACATAGTCGCAGCTCCATCGTACCCTTGACCTCTCATCTTTCTCCAATCAACACCTGGAAAATAATTGAACTGAATGAGATGTAGGAATACATTTCTGTTCGTAGCAGACATGTAATCTAGGATGCTTACCCTTTTAAAGGGCATTGTCGGCATTGATTTTTGTTAACGTTATTTTATATTTGTTCGTACTTTGTGGAAAATTACTATGTAACTGTAACTTTGGTTCGAACGTGAAAAGTACCTTCTAGTTACTTTAAAATGTAAAAAAACATTAATAAAACTGAAACATTTGACCTTTTACTCTGCTACTGTCACTCTGCTCAGTAGGTGGCGCTGGGCCTTCCACTTAATTTTCTGGTATACTTCAATTATGAGATGAAATGAAGAAAATATTTATAGAAAACCTCCAGATCCCTTCTAAAACAGTGATGCTTTGCGGCTTTCGCTGGACAACGGGCATTTACGTGGCCTTTCATTCACAAGGATCCATTGTCCTGGTCCATTTGTTTAAAAAAAATGCCCTAAAGCACGATTTTTCCACCGTAAGTATGGTCTTCTTAAATACACTTTCTCATGATTTGATTCACCGGTGTATGGAGATCAAGGGTCACTGAGGTTACAAAACCAATAATGGGTTTCAATTAGTTGTTAAAATAAATACCTGGGCATTTAGGGTGCCTAAAAATATGCACATGCCTAACTTGGCTTAAATAATTTAAAATACTGCTTCACTCACAATAATGTGACTTGTAATTTGGCAGACTGAACACTTCAGACAATGACTTACTCATGTTATATGTAAAGTGGAGCAGGTACCATGGACAGCTCCATCTGTGGGCAGTGGGAAAGCGGCTTCACCAGGACACAGAGAACACATCGACGTATATAATATGACACACTGTAAAGTAGATCAATTTATTCAATTAAACCATAATTGTTTGCTGTTATGGGTCGGTTCAGTGGAGACTACCTTGACACCTACCTCTGAAGTCTGCTGTGAACACCTGGGTGGTGACGTTGGCTTCTTCCACAACAGGATGTGGCTCCAGGGTTGCTCCTCTTTCAAGCAGCACGTTGTGGTGACGTGACACCATTGGATCCATGATGTGTGAATATAATAAAAGGTATATGAGGATTTTCTACTTCCGGGTGGATCATCTAGACAAGGGGTTTCCAACCTTTTTCAATCTGAGAGCTACTTTTATACAACAGAAGAGGCAGAGAGCTTCTTTCTGCAGTCGTAATTAAGATTTATGTTATAATTACAACAACACATGGTGAAGACATGAAGATAATCCTGTATAACCCATATATATGACCGTTATAAGTTCATATATTTATACTTATGATAGACATTGAATGACTCCAATGTACTCATTCAGGATCATGTTTTATTTTCTAAATCCTTTTGGGAGCTACCTGAAAGGGACTGGTGAGCTTCAGGTTGGAGACCACTGATCTAGACTATTGCCTAATTGTCATTCTGGTGATACATTTTAGTAGGTGTTCCCTTTGGAGAAGGTGGTTCTTTCCTAAAATTGGGTACATCCTCCTACACAACTTTTAAGAACATTCACTTGTATTTGGGTTGTTACTCTGTGGGTTACCCTTAACCCAGAATCTTATTAAATTAAAAAAAAAGATTTTGTATCGATGCACAAAATATAACAATAATAAAGCAGTTGCATGTACAGTTATATATCTTTCTAAAATGAAAATTAAAAACAAAAGTGGAAGTATCAATCTTTCAAATAGATTTTCTGGAAATCTAACTGCTTTAAAATAGATTTTAATCTGAATTTAAGACATTTAATGATTACACATCTCTATGACAGACAATTCTCAGGTTCTGTAAATGTCACAGTGATATGACGGTATTATGTACAGGTTGGTGTTATAAATCCATGGGAGTAAACATTTTGATGCTATTTTATTCAAACCAGAGCATAAATAATATAAATATTTAATGTATAAATGTATTTAAGTGTGGACCTAGCTCTAGTATTACAACAGTCATTACTATCAAAATATCATTTTAATTTAGGATATTATTTATTTCTGTAGATTGAACAAAAACTCAGGTCCAAACATCAATGATTCATGTTATCTCCTGTTATAACAAATGCACACTCCCATAACCAATCTCGTCGCAGCAGAAACATGGTCCCATCAAATAACGTGGGCAAGGTGTGCGAAAATATAAATAATATATAAATAACAATTGTAAACCACTTTGTGACTCTGGTCTGTGAAAGGCGGTATATAAATAAAGATTACTTACTTATCATACTAAAACATGATAATAAGCTGTGATTGGTAGAATATTTACATCATGTATCCCCATTCAAACCTGAGTAAACTCTTGAATTAGGACAGTAATGTCTTTCACCTCTCAAGAAATTCTTTTCAAGATCAAACAACTGATAAAAAAAGCGTTCCTGCTCTGTGTTCTCCGGTGCGTTTCATTTTGTTTATTAAATCCTTCGTTACAAATGGAACAGGAGTTATTCAATTTGTGTGCAGTTTCATATGTCGCTTGAGGACTGATCTTCTGGAGAATAATTTGTTGCATGTTGGACAGCAGTAAGGCTTTTCTCCAGTGTGTGATCGTCTATGTGCAATGAGGCTACTCTTTGCTGTGAAAACTTTGCTACAGACTGAACAGCTGAAGGGTCGTTTACCTGTGTGTGTTCTTGTGTGTAGTATTAAAACACTCTTCTGAGAAAACTTTTCAAAGCAAAACGAACAACTGAAGCCTTTCTCCGTGTGTATCCGTGTGTGATCCGTGAGAATAGACTTTCTGGCAAATGTTTTGTTGCATGTGGAATAGCTGAAAGGAGTCTCTCCGGTGTGTTCCCGCATGTGTACTTTTAGCTGCGATGAATGAGTAAAACATTTCTCGCAGTGAGTGCAGCTGTACGGCTTTTCACCTGTATGTGTTCTGCCATGGACATCCAGATGACACTTGCGAGAAAATCTTCTGTCACAGACTGGACAGCTGTAAGGTTGCTCACCTGAGTGTGTTTTCATGTGTTCATTAAGTACCCATTTTTGAGTATAGGATTTACTACAAACTGAGCAGCTGTAGGGTCTCTCTCCTGAGTGACTTCGCATGTGTCTTTTTAGGAGTTGCTTACTCATGAATCTCTTTTTACAAACATCACACATGTGTTTCTTATCCTTGGATCCTTGGCCTGTGATTTCGGACTCTGGTGAAGATAATGGAGATCTCCAGTCTTCATGGTTTTCACCGTTAGAAGAGTTTCCCGCAGTCACCGAGCCGATGTCTTCTCCCGATCTTTCCTCTCGGAGCTCAGTTTGTTGAAGCAGTGACGACTCTGTCTTTAAGCACAAAGAATCGGACTCTGAGAAAGGCCTGAAAATGACAGAAAAAACACAAATAGTTGTAAATTAAAAAGGAAGACACAAACTCCCTAGAGCGTGAGATATGTTAAAAATCCCATTGTTAAAAGAAATGTTTCCACATTTATAATGTGGAAAAGTCTGTGCTTGGAGTGAATGAGATGCAGATTAAAAAAACTGCAGAACTTTACAACACTTTAAGACTTTGCTCAAGAAGAATATTGTCCAATCATGTGTTGGTTGGGAATGCAGAGAGCAGAACATTATCATCATGGAGAAAATGTCTTATTTTGATTTGTGCGAAAGTTTAATATGTAAACTAAAGCGTAGGTTTAGCTTCTGTCTGTTCTTTTTTTCAGACCTGTACATTTGAAGCTTGTCGCCAAGTGCCTGAAATTGTCAGAGTTGTCTGAAATTAATAAATAAAATAAACTAAACTGAACCCCTCAAATAGATTCACTTTTTAGGCCCAAAAGAACAGTGTCTGGACTGATCAGAAGTGAGGAACGAGTGTGTGGCACATAACAGTGTGATACAGATGTGTGTAAATGAGTCGTACTCTTTCAGCTGCTCCTCCTCCTGTTTCACACTTTGCTCCTCTGGCTCCTCTTTGATATGAGTCTGAGCCTCGGTCTGAGCCTCGGTCTGAGCCTCGGTCTGAGCCTCGGTCTGAGCCTCGGTCTTAACCTCGGCCCCCAGGTTCAGAGCAGGACCTGGACTCTGGGAGGGCGTCTGGACACCTACAGGACAAATACAGGTAAACTAAACGCTTTGTACATGGAAACAGAAAGAACAAGGAACCTGTTTTTTCATCAACATAGAATAATAACAATATATCTATGCACACATTTATAAAAACAATACAAGTCTAACCATGAACATAACAAAACAAGCAAAACAAATGCATATATTAAAACATGAAATGGAAACTGTTTAGGTCTATAATTAACCCTCATTTTGATGAGAATAGTTGGCTGATTACTCTTTTGTTTAATCGAAAGGTCAGGGAATATTGTTTTTGTTTTTTTTAGATACGTTTACCCAAAACAGAGCCCAAGTGACGCCCCAGAAGAAACATTGGGTCTCGATACACTGTTGTTGTAGAAATACTAACACATTTTAACTCTGTTTATTATAGAATTTGTTTGAGTCTGAAAACTCCTTCTCAGAAAATGAAGTCCATGTGAGGATTAAAAAAAACGATTGATTTCTTACATTAATTGAAAACGACGTCAATAATCAAAGCCATAATATGGATCGATTATCTATAGTTACAGCAACCTATTTATAATCGAACAATTTATTTGTCAAGTATTGAGATATTAAACTATATGTCCGTAAGCTGAATCACTTAAGCAGTTTCAGAGCTAAATCTAGCCCTGCAAATTAGGTTTCACTTGAGCTCGCCTTTAGTTTAATCAAGGACAATGCAAAAATAAACATTAGTTTAAAAAAAGGAAAATATATCATGTACCATGTTTTAGCAAAAATACTATCCCTGGACAGGTTGATGATATCATGGGACAACTGATTGATAATCCATTTTACACAAAAAAACCAATACATTTTCAGCCTTATTCATACAGTCAAAACATTACCATCACGCAGTTCTTAAGACACCCAACAGAGGGCGCTGTTTCCATTTCATAACAATAAGTTTGTGTAAGCTCTCAGTCGTACAGGGATTAGTCAAAGCAAAGGAAGGTTTCTCACCCATCATCTGTACTTCTTAGCAAGTTTTCCCGACGTTTCGTCCTCAAACTAGCGGACTTCTTCAGGGAGTTCGCTAGTTTGAGGACGAAACGTCGGGAAAACTTGCTAAGAAGTACAGATGATGGGTGAGAAACCTTCCTTTGATTTCATAACAATGTTTCAAGCATTTGTGGTTCCTCGTGATTCGTGATGTTTCAGTCTCTTCGTCTCTTGTACAGGTGCATATGTTATAGAAGTGGTGTGTAGATGGAATAGTGCGTTGTTGGTTTTATTTGCGGTAGTGGCACAGTCTCTGGAAAGGAACAGACCATAGACTGTATAGACACGTACCTTCTTCCGCTCTGAGCAGCATCACTCTCGGCCTCAGAGTCTCCAGCTGCTCCTGTCTTCTCTGCTTCTCTTTACACAGCCGCAGTTCCTCCTCATATTCCGCTATCGTTTTTTCAAACAGCGCAAATATTTCCTCTGCAGCCGCTGTCAGCCGCGCAGTCATCAAAGCTCTCAGAGTTTTTCCCGCAGACATTTTAGCTATATTTTTAGCACAAGGGCTAACACCGCGAGACTGCTCTGCGCATGCGCCTTTGCCAATTCCTCTTTGTTCTACCCATAGACATATATATAAAGATATAGAATATTTAAAAGTCTATGGTTCTACCAATCAAATCTCTATATTTACTTAAACACTATTGGAAAAGAAGAGTGTCATTCACATAAGTATAAATACATGGAGTTTATCTCAATATGCTAATTTTTATAGAAAGACCTGTAGAACAAACTTCACTCTGCACATTACTGTGCTCTGTCTCATTCTGCCGAGATAGTAACAAAAACATGGTTCAATCTAAACTCAATTTAATTCTATTCTATTTATATGAGCACAGCCCTAAACAACAACAGCAATCACCTTGGAGGACTTTACTAAGTTGTCAATTCACAACAACAGATCAGAGAATCAAACTGTTCAAACACAGGAAATACCATCATAACAAACTGTTAAATCTCTAAAACAGTCTTTAAATGTCCCGGATCATCACTTGTTGACCCTCCTACATCGACAAGTATAATTTTAAAAAAGAAATTGAAAAAAAAAACAAATCTTTCTATGGAAGAAAGTAAGAAACCTGGGAGTGGCCCATACTGAGAGAGGGATCTGCTCAACAGGCTGTAGTAGATCCAGGACTCAGGCAGAAGAGGGCGCTATTTTCTAACTTATGTAACAGCCCTCATGCTTTTCCTGCACTCATTACACTGTTACACTGACTCCCTTATCTCTGTTTATGAATAATGCTGATTTTTGGGCCTGTGCTTGAACTGTGTCTCTTTGTTTCAGAGTTGTACAAGTGCAGTCTTTATGTCGTCGTAAACTGCTTTCCTCCATTTGTGTGTTTATGGTGCAGCGGCTCTGCACTAATGGAGCTCAACCAATATGGGTTTAATGGTTAGCAGGCGCTGCAGGAGGAGGTAAGGAGCCAGGGGGGATTTCTCATGATTCAGTCTAAATCTAACAGCATGAAAACAAGCAGTGGTTCTGGTAATGCTCAGAAGGGGTCCGGATCAAGAGATTTCTATAAAAGTCCTAAAAGCTTGTTAAAATGTTTATTTATAGACCATTTAAACCATATAACTTGTTATCGTACAAGGTGTTTCATAGAGCTTCATCCTACTCCACTCTTCTCATCTGGGTTTCAACCACTTTCTTGTTATGTATTTTAATTTTCTTTTATATTTGGAGATTTATTTTGTGCCATCCATTTTTTTCTACTTTATCTGTTGCCTTGTTGCAGGGGCAGCAGTCTAAACCAGTCCATTCACACGCTCATGGATTTGTGGACAGACTCGACATGGACTTGATTCCAATTAAATTAACTGTTTTGAGAGAAGAAGGAGACACAATAGCACCTACTTCTTTCTGAATGGAGTTTGCATTTTCTCCACGTGTCTGCGCATGCTTCCTCCGGGTGATGGTTTCGCCTACCACTAAAACAAGTACAAAAGGTAATATTCTCCAGCTCTGGTCCTGACCAAGTGGAGCATCGACATCTGGAGATGCGATACATCCGAGTGCGTTACTGCGGTGACCACTGCTCCTGACAGAGTCCCCAGTGGCATTGCAGGATGGGTCAAATAAAGAAGACTAATAACCTTACAAGGATAAATATAGTGTACCTTAAGTTTCTTGATAAAACCTGTTCTTGTCAGATCTCAAAAGGGTAGCAATTAATGTCCTGGTTAGTGCAGTGATGGGAGAATACCTAAAAGGTATTCCCAAACATTTCAGACCCAAACCCCTACTGCTGGATTCAAACTGGAATATAACTTTTCTGTATCATATACTGTAAACTCTTTGTCCTAACAGAAAGTCTCTGTTGAATTAGACCACAACATGCTGTCTTATTTGACATTTTTAATAGGTCGGTAGATAGATAGTATTGTAAAAAAATGTGACGTGTTCAAAATCCCATATAAAGATGACCAGTATTCGAAAAGTTAAATCCAAAATGTTTATTCCCTGATACAAAGAGTCTAAACAGCGGTCTGGACTTAAGATTAGCTCTCCCTCTCAAATCTATATATGAGTATAAAGTCAGGCGCTCTGACTTTATACTGCAGGTCCCTTGTCCAGACTAGTTCACAATTTCTACATAATACAGTTTTATAAATGTGCTGAAGATCAGGACTTGTCCCTCGAAGACGTCATGGGCTCCTTATCACCTCAGTCCCCGAGACTGGCCTGGTCCGGATTTTTGTCTCATGGGAAGCAGACACACGTTCCTGAAAATGGTTACTTTTTGCAGACCAGCCCAGTGGCGGCTGGTGGAATTTTCTACTGGGGGGGCTATGAATATGATGACTAGATATATACCAGCAGGGTAGGGATGCTTTCTGATCCCTACCCTGTAGCTTTCATCCAGCTGGGATGAAATATTTATCTTCCCAAACATAGCTAATTTGAGGGCATTTTGCATGTGGATACCAGTCTGCTCATGCTTCTTTGCCTTTTCTAAAAAGTGCTTCAGATCAGTCATACCTGTCTGGATCCATGCTGGGTCAGATCCTGATGTTTGAAACAAGAGGCATGGAAAGCAAAATAAAGCATTAGCCTCGCTACATGCTGCTAGCCAAGATTTGGCGCTAAACCAGGTCCTGGACTGCTGACTAATGGTAATATTTGGCTGATCAGGTCCAAGCTCTTTAACCTCAACCTTCTCCTGGTATGATCTTCTCTCAAACGGTATTGTTTTGAGTGATCTAACTGAATTATTCTTTTTCTCGTTCTCCATTTTGCGTCTCTTTACGTTCGTCTCAAACTCCCACAGCTTGACCTGTCAATCACTGTAAACGGACGTCACAGACAGTGACAGTACAGGTCGCGGGCGATCCCGCCCCCTCAGGGCGCACTTCTCCTGCGCCCCCAAATCGTCTTATCTCTTGCATTGAAGAGGAGCTACTGCGCATGTACAACTTTTAACGAGAGTCCATAGACGGCTCAGGGCGCAATCTTTTGCGCCCTGAGGCGGAAATACGTCCTCAGTCCGACACAGACAACGCTGATGAGCTTAATCTATCCAACTCAGCATAAACTATAAAGTATTTCTTCCACATCTGAAATAAAACACACATACATTTCGAAATATTTTAATATTTTTTTTTTAACGTTTTATTCAAGGTAACATGGCAAGTTGTGAGTGGTGGGGCGGCGCCCTAGCGCCCTCTATTGGCCGGCCGCCACTGGACCAGCCTGTCCTTGAATTCTCACTGACCGCACTAACACACTCTTACTGATAATATAAGAACATTTTCTGATCAATATAATTGTTAGTACATGTGATTACTGGTAATATAATTTGTTATGGTGGTTATACTTTATTCACTCTTGTCTGTGTGTCAGCATGTGCATGTTATTCACATCAGTCCCCCTTTTGACCTCATTTAAGAGGTCACATCATCCTCAGGGAGCATTACAGGACGGTCCTCCATCAGTGACATCACGTACTGGCCTTTGGGATCCGGTTTGACCGCAGTGTTGATGGCCTTAACACAAAGAGAGCGAAAACAAGGAACACAACAACATCCAACAACTACCATTATGGCCACAATGGATGCCAGGGACGTGATCACGGACACAATTAAATGCTTCCACTTCCCCAAGGTCCCGCTCAGCCACGCCTCCAGGGGATTCTCCGGGACACCTGAAACGTCATGCATCTGTTGTGATAGCATTTTAAGACCGGCTAGGGCTCGAGATACTGATCCATCCGGATGTGTGTTATTCGGGATGTAAACACAGCATTGATCGCCAAAGATGGAGCACAAACCCCCAGTGTTGGCTAAAATCATATCTAGGGCCACCCTATTTTGGAAGGCCACTAAGGAAGTGGCACCCAGTTGTTCAGCCAATCCCTCTATTGCGTCCCTTGTGTGATTGGCAAGTCTGAGCATAGTGTACCAGATAAAGTTAATTCTATCTAAATTTTTGTTAGGAGTGACAGGGAAGATGGCAGAAATAATTGGCAGATTCTCAAAACCAGTAGTTATCTGGTCAACCAATTTAAACTGATTAGGCACCCCTCTGGGAACGCCAATGGAGTCCATAAATGTTGGATTATCCTTCCCTGTGTCTAAAAATGGGATTGCTCGTTTAAACCTGTGCTGTGTATAAGGACTATCAAAGGGCTGCTTGTGTCCTATTATAGAAATAGGCATTATTAATCGCACCATTTCACACCTGTGAAATTACGGATCAATCTATGTCTCAGTTTCAAGTCACCACACAACCAATACAGATCACCTCTGGTCCTGGTCATATGTACTGGGCTGGGCAGGGTGACGTTGTGGATGCACCAGTCTGTTGGAAGGAATCCCCACTGGAGGCGCGGCTTTGTTCCTCCATTGGAAGAGTGGAAACAGGTGTAGTTGCTTTTCCTGGAAGTAAACATAGGGGGTTGAATAGTTGAATGCAATTCTGGAAATAACCCTTCAAAATTTGAACAATTATAGTGGGCTGTCTCTGCTCTATCAGTCAGATCCTTCTGAGACGAAAACAATCTTAACATGCAGTAATATCCATCCAAATCTTCCAAAAAAAGTGGAGCAGGGGCAGTGTACAAAGTCGGGCGTGCAGAGGAGCACACAATACAATCATCAAAGCCAGCAGCCGCTGACATGTGCTCTACCGTCCACAACCAAACATTTCTATCTCCGTAACCGGTTGCCTGTTGTAACAATTCACTTACAGTCCAGTTAGTGGTCACCTTTATGTCTTGCTTGTCTTGCACCACTTCACTGTCTATAGCCTCGTGGTCTAACTCCCGGTCATCAGGCACTGCAATTGAGATCCACTGTCTAATATCCCCTGGATAATGTCCAATAACATCAATTCCACAGTTCTTTACAGTGAGTAATATGGTCGTTAGTGAGTTAGTGAGTCTGTGGTAATAATCACTCGTCCTCGCAGTGTGTGTTCCATGTTGTACCCCCAATCTGCGCCTGTGT